TAAGTTTGTTTTTATTAGGTTATTGGATTATATAAAAAACTATTTATTTTGGTTGATTTGACAGCTTTCAATGGTGGTGTGTTGCTGTTACTCCACTTCTGGTTGCTACTGTGCAGAATCTGATTGCAAAAAAGCAAGATGGCAGCTGCAGTATTCGCAATATTTTGGCTTCACTTTTGTATAGTGAAGGGAAGTAGTGACGTGACATCCATTGTATATACAGTCAACAGTAAGCGGAATTCATGCTTTGTGCATATCGTGTCTAGAACTTGATCAAACAGAATTCACCTGGTTACAGTTTGTATCACCACAGCAAAGAGTTTGAATTCTGTTGTAAATAAAACCATACTAGCATCTTCAACAGACACACTGCAGAGAGCACCACTGTAGCCATGCTGTTAATGTTGAAGACCAACGTACTCACAACCTAATCGACACAACTGTATAAGCGTTTTACCAGGGGCATTAAAATGAGAGAATGATTTCCTGAACTAATCAAACTGGCGTGCGTGACAACATTTGTGTGATATCTGTCTTGGCTGAGCATGTTTTTTCAGCAGCTGTACTAACATGAGCTACAGTATAAAGCCAGTAAAACTGGGCTCTGATGTGGTGTTTCATGTTCAGTAGCATTACACGTTATTTACTGTTGAAAGCCTTATGATAAATTTTACAAAACTGGGCAGAATTTATTATAATTGCAGCACTTTTAGCCTTCCTAGCGAAGCCTGGATTTTGTGCAGCAGTGTTTGCTAAATATTTTGGAATTCGATGAAAATGACAGATGGGAGTAGAAGCTCTACAGTTTTAAATAAAATCATTTTGTGTTTAATTTATAGTTGATGTAACTGTTGAATTAATCTGTTGTTTAAATTCCTTAGTCTGATTTTATGCTTAACATAGATCATGTCAGTGGTTAAAAACTTTTTTAAGCATTAGTGTTAACAATGAATCATTATTGATTCTTAAAGTGGCTGACTATCGATTAAGGAAACAGCTTAGGATTTTCATCCCTGTTGGTGTTATTGAGTGTAGCTTTGTGGACAAAAATGGCAGTTTTATCCGTTCAAAATGAAATCTGTAACACAAAGTGTACAAAAAGTGAAAGGGTTTGACTATGTTCTAAAGAAACTGTAAACACACACTCCCTTCCCCCATCAGTGGAATTTTATTCCCAGGGCGGTCTGGCATTCCTCACTGCTGCATCATGGGACGTGTGTGTGTGTGTGTGTGTGTGTGTGTGTGTGTGTGTGTGTGTGTGTACACACACACACAGTCCTGCCTGTAAGAGATAGCATTTCAAACATGCTGGTGGTGTTATTGTGACACTCAAAGATAAGGCATCCATCCATCCATCGATTACCTCTTCCACATTATCTTTCTCCCCCCCCCCATTCATTGCTACCTTGACAACCCTCCCTCTTTTCTCATCCATCCACTCTTCCCTCACATCTCCTCCCCACATAGTACTCTGTTCATCGTGTGTGGGAGGGAGGACCACCCGGCTACTGACAAAGCCGTTGTCATGGTTATGCGTGAGGAGTGGGGTACTGTCATGAGATTGTTGTCTCTGAACTATTGAAGAGATACATCAGTGGAGTGTAGTCAGTCAGTCATGTACCAAAGAATCAGCAAGTCAGTTGGCCAGTCAAGTTCCATTGTGGTTGGTGTGTATATATAGATGTCACCGCTGGAGAGCATACGACAGCCAGTCACTCAGTGACCCACACAGTCACTACACACAGCTGTGTCAGGTTTTAGGCCAGCTGTCACCATCCACTTAGTTTGTAAACCAATCAGACAGTAATCAGCCACTCACTTAGCCTGTGAACCAAGCAGATGCTAAAAACTGGTCAGTCCACCAGTTTGGTAAGTTATTTATTAAATATCATTTAAAAAGAAAACATTCATAGTTATTAGGGCTGGGCAAGATAACGTTATTTTCACATTAACACATTACTTAACGCCGTCAATTATTTTATTGCGCATTAACAGTTTTGTTTATTATTATTATTTTGAAAGTCTGTGGCTCACTGGCTCTGAATACACATACAGACAAACTATGGGTCACAGGAGGGATGGGATGTTGATCAGTACTGGCTTGGTATGGGTGTCATCACGCGTCTCAACCAATGACAGCGCTTGGGGTGGGCCTAAGACTGCAGCAGCGCTCGCGTGAACCAGACGCACCATCACAAGAAGAATACACAAGTTGTATGAAAAGGAGGACTACAAAAGCGATGGCGTGATGTGCACCAACAGTTGCTCTCACTGGAGACTACTGGACATCACTGGGTAACCATAATTACCTCGGAGTTACAGTGCATTATATTGATGAACAGTGGGAGCTGCATTCACATGCTCTAACTGTAATGAAGACAGAAGATAGACATTTTGCTGAAACATGCGCAGAGCATTTCATTTATGTTGCACAGCAGTGGAACATTTCAAATAAATTTAGCACACAACACAGAGTGCAAGAAATATGATCGCTGCTGCGAGACATCTGCCTTTTGAACACGTCCCCTGTGTCGCGCAAAGTCTCCATCGTTCTGTCACAGTTTCTCTGCAGAACAGTACGTTTGACAATGTCCTGGTCAAATGCAGAAAGGTTGTGGGCCACTTTAAACACAGTCCGGCAAGTGCTGCAGAATTGGAACAACAACAAATTAAACACCTTATTTGTTTCAAGTGTTTGCAAACCAAATGTTATTGCACTTTTGTTCATATAAGCAGTACTTTTAAAATAAAAGTGCACAATACACTACTTTTGAATTCATTATTGAATGCTGCTCATATCAATGCAGTTAATTGTGATTAATCACAGAAAATCATGCAGTTAACGTGATTAGGGATTTTAGTCGTTGCCCAGCACTAATATTTATATTTTGAATATACAACTATTTTTAAAATAATTTTGACTTAAATTGGCACCAAAACTCATCTGGAGACATCCCATCACTTACGACCCAGGTCACTTCATGTACTGTAGTAAACAGAAGTTAAAATAACCATGATGATTTCTAGAAGAAAACATGACCTGTTCATAAATTATATTTACCTGTACATAATTTTTAATAATACTATTTATTGACCTATGTTTTTATCTCTGTAGTTTGTGAATTAAGAACTGCATATGAAACATCTTGTCACATCATCACAGTCACACCTACAGCTCAGTAGCTCCAGTCTCACCAATGACCATAAACTGAGTGGCCACACTAACAAGTATTGAAAAACCCTGAGCAATAATAAGCAAAGTAGCTCTTCAGCTTGCATTATATTAAGTAGTATTTGTTTTTTTTCACTTTGCTCTGTCTGTGATAGGTTAGCAGGCTATAGAGTGTGAGGTTTAAATTCAAACTGAAGACCAGAGCTCATCACTGTGGCTAGCCTACTTTAGAGTTTTAGAATTTCTTAAGAATCCAGAGCAGAACGCAAAACTATGTACACTGCTTTCCTAACAAATAAACCAGCTTCCTTCTGACTACTTGCTGTAAGGTTTGGCTGGTGTTTGTACTGGGCTCAATGGGGGCTGTGGTCCTGAGTCTGCTGCTCTGCTCCTTACATCTAAACGGTTAGCTATTAGCCTAACAAACTTGCTGTAGTTAACACATACTGCTGGTAGATGGAGACTGCAAGCAGAGGTGTTATGATCACTTCTCTGGAGGTTTATGCTCCTTAGCGGTTTTTTTTGATAATTAGCTCGTATTGACTTTTTTACTCACTGAGGTTTTATTGCATATCTAGTAATGAGCATGGGTGTTGTCACATCGATTCATTTTTCACTTGACTTGCTTCCCTCTCTCCACCACGGCACCTCAGCTACTGTCTGCTCAGTGGGTGGAGGATCTTAGCCCTGCCCACTGACATAGAGAGAAGCTGTTCCATAAATACCAAAACCATATTTTCCAATTCACTGGTCTCTTCGAGTACTGATAAAATACACTCGGTCTGTACAAACTGAGGACCCAGTCGCATCGTTGCACTCAAATAATTTTTCCACATTTGTGCACACTGAATTTTTAAACATTTTTACTTGTATATGCAAGTGAAACGCTCGCAATGTAGAGCCCTGAACACACAGAATAGAAAGCTAAAGAGAAGTGTGATGGGGGCAAGAAACCCAAGCAGTCAGATGATCAGACTGCCTGTAAACAGTCCCTAGCTTAGTCATACTTAATTGGAAGGGAAAATTAATACCTAAACAGTAAGCAGCTGTTACAGTTTAGATCCAATTCTTCATTCAACTTTGATCTGCTGTTCTTAGTTTGCTGTGCCCAGAGTTGGACTGTGGCAATGTTGGATTATTTGCAAATTTTAGGTGCCTTTTGTTTCAGTTTTACTTCAAAATAAAGTGGTGTAGATAAGGATAAGGATAATCACCTTTATTGGCCAAGCATGTTACACACAAGGAATTTGTTTCCGGTACAGAACCGAGGCAGCCATCTCCAGCACCAACTCAACCGATGGCTTTAACCATCGGGGGTAACTTAGAGGTTCAGTGTCTTGCCCAAGGACACTTGACAGGCACTGAGATTCAAATCTCTGACCCTCCGGTTGGGAGACGGCCGCTCTACCCACCGAACCACAGTCGCCCCCGATTAGGGCTATCATAAAGTGTCCTGATCTCAGCAGTTACTTTGGTTAATAATATGTTATAACCATTAGAACTGTTAAAAATAAGATCCAAATTTTAATAAGCAGTATTGATCCTTTAAATGTTTAAAGTCACTGAACCTACCCAGTTAGTCAGTTGCAACATCAGTTAATCAGTAGAGCAGTGAGTACACAGGCCAGTGATGTGATATCCAACCCATATAGTCATGCCAGACATTTGGACATAAATAAATAAATATTTTGAAGTTGCTGTTCTTATGAGACCTTGCTCTATGACTGCACTATAGGGATACTTCCTGATCATGTTGGAGAACATTTGTGATGCAGAATGGCACCAATCAGAGCAGATTAATGACATCATTCTTCTGCTTTCTCCACAGGTGAAGGTATCATGGCTGTCCTGTTTACTGAACTACCCTCCTAGACTTCCCTGATAAAATAAATATACGTATCTAAACATCCCTGTAAGCCACACAAGCACATGCACATTTGACATTCTCTGTGTGTGTGTGTGTGTGTGTGTGAGGGATGACAACCTCCCATTTGAATGGTCATGTTGCTGGAGAGGGAGGAGGAGGAGGAGATGAAGAGCTGAAGGGAGGGCAGCAACACAGAGAAATGGCTGTTGACTGTCCAGGAGAGCTTGGGGGTCGCACGCTCCCACTCCGAAGATCTGCACAGCTGGAGAGGATACGACAACACCAGGTATGCACACACACACACACAGTTGTGTTTTCATGGGTTCAGTGGACATTACATTGCCTTAGATTAAATTACTGAGACTTGCCCTAGTCACAACGATAATCACTGCTTGCATAACACTAACCCTAGTCCTTAGCTAAACCTAATGAAAGGCCAGTGTGCTGCTATATGGCACGATTCACTGCCTGTTGTCAGCATAGTCTGCCTATCTTTGTACTAACTGACTTCACAAGAACTAATAGCAGTGGTGAAATGTAACGGAGGTTCTTCTGCTTTACTGAAGTACTTCCTTTAATTGTCTGCTACACTAGATCTCAAACCAGTTTCACAATTACAGTTTCTAGTTAGTTTGTAGATTGACAGTTAAGATTTAAAGCATATAAGTTCATAAAAATATAATGCATTCTTAGATTACACAGCCCAAAATTTTATATAGTTAAAATTAGCCCCACCTTGACCACCATTCTGTGACACTGACCAGTTGAATTGCAGTGCATTTTTCCATGTAACTGTAAACATGATGGAAAGAAAGAGGAATGATGTGTCATTTAAAAGGGCATTTCTTGTTTAAAGACTGATTAAAACCTGTGCAGCAGAACCTGACCTCCAAAATCACATTTCCCATAATACTGCACACTAGCATCTATATTAGACCCCTCAGCTTCCTAAATCCCCAGTTATACCAAATTATTCTCACCGGGGATTTGATCATCACTTTCTGCAACATGAAAAAGACGGAGCTCAATCACTGCTTAGGGACGATGAATGGTTCCAGCTTCGCTTTTATTCATAAAACCATGTATACATATGCAAACATTCACTGTCAGGTGGACCTGTCAGGAATCGGCACGTGCTGCTGCCAAAAAAGTTTTTGGTGAACTCAATTAAATGGCCAGACGAGGATACGTGACTAACCGTCTCTTTAATAAGAGCACAAACGCTTAACAAAACTGAGACAAGACACGGTGAACATATGAAACAAAACTACAGCTTGAGGATACAGTCCATGGTCAGAGCCAGCAAACACATACATCCAGGGGAATCCAAAGTTCGTTGTCCAAAGGGAAAGTCTGATAAATCATACACAGTAGCAATCCGAAACAAGTGGACAAGGCAGAACAGAATAGTCAGAGGAAACAATCCGGGTCAAAACACAAAATACCAAAACCGAAAAATGCTGGAGAGTCAGAGCTGGCAGCGTCCTGGTGGGAGGACGCTGCCTAAATAGAGGTGAAAGACAGGTGCAAACAATAAGGAGCTGGTGAAACTAATGTGAGTGGTTATGAAAGTAAAAAGACTGAAACTGAGGTGAAGCAAAACAGAAAGTAATGGCAAAATATGAGCATGACAGGAAACGGCAGAACCGAATCATGACAGGACCAGTGAAATAGTTCCTGATTCCTCCTCAGTCGTCACATTGCAAGTTATGTAATATGACAAGCTGTAATTCACTGTCTAAAGTGGAGTCTGCCTTTTCCCTCAGCCAACTCACTGGCAGAATATATCACCATGATTACCCGTTCTGGCACAGTGAACCTTCTGAAATGTGAAAATGTTGTGTAGTTGGGATGGAAGATAAATTATTTTCTATAACTTAAACTCCCGGGCTGTAGTTACTCTCTGCATAGTTTTTAACAAGATGATGTAACAAGCATAATTTAAAACTTCTCGTTTGTAAATTAATAGAATTTGGTCATATATTGCTGTTGGTTGTTGTTAAAGTCCTCCCATTAGGGATGTAACAATATTGGTAATTTCACGATATCATGATGGAAAGATTTCTCAATAATGCTGTGGGACTCTGACAAATCTACCAGGATATTACAAAAGTTTATTTTGCTACCAAACAGGAAAAGTTTAACCTGTCGAGGGGATACTAAAACACTGATGCTCCACAGTGAGTGTGACTTGTCTTGTTTTCAAGATCCAGCTGCTGCAATAATAATTTATTTTATTTTATTTCATTAAAGGATTGGTGCTGACTGCTGTATGATATTTTTTTTGCTGTGCAATTGTACAAACAGCTCAGTCATTCAGTGCCAAAGACTGTTCATGTCAGCATTTTGCACATGCTTAGGTCATGGCTGACTTTTATTTTAATAAAGGAAAGCAGGAGCACCTTAAGTTAAGAGGAAAACCATACAAAAATGTGGATTTACTATTTAGTAAAGGGCTTTTTTAAATATATTTTTGTATAATTTTTCTTTTTTTTTTAAATATCATGACAAATATTGTATTGTGTACATTTTATTGTCACAATATCATGTTCATCCTTATCTCCCATACAGCATTTTACTTCCTATAATCAGTCACAGGCCATTACCTAGATTGTGTGTGTGTGTCTGTACTATTACAAAAAGAACATTCACTCATTTGGTCTTTAAACAGCTAATAGTCACGGCCCACTTATAATTTTTTCAAATCAAAATGATAGAAGGGGGTGTTATGTGTATGTAAACTGACATACAGGGAGCATTAACCAGAGAAAAGCTGAGGTTTCTTTTGTTGTTTGACTAATGTTAATTAACTACAGTGGTTACATTTACTGGCAGCAGTTGTCATTATTAGAAATGTAACTGTATGAAAATTTAACATCAGGATTATAGTGACCAAAATTATCATGTTATCAATATTGTCACGGTACTGTTCAAATGTTTTGAAAATGTTCAAAAAGTACTTGATCTTACAGAAATCATTACTTTATGGTTTTATTTTGAAAACCACAAATAATTATTAGCATTATTATGTATTGTGTGTGCATAAACACGCACAAAAATAAATAACATAGCTAATAGTCATAGCCCTCTATAAACATAGGAAATTGGATCAAATGTGGGTTTGCTGGATAATGGGTTTGTCTGGATGTTACTGAGTGTTAAGGGTTAGGGTAGGTCTTTCACAACATTCAGAGGTGTACAGACAGAAAATGTCACTCTGTATTGTAACATGTCTCCCTTATCTGTCGAATCAGAAGCCAACTTCAGTGTCCTACGGCTTCCCCAAGTTCACCAGTAGCTCTCAGACCATCTCGTTCACTCTATTGTCATTTTTCCGGTCCAGGCAAACCAAAAATTCCTTAGCCCTGTTCCACAAGCTGTCATCTAATATTACTGATTGGGAGACAGTCTTGGAAGATCCCACAGAAAGTCTCTGATAAGCGGCTGTGCACTGCTGGTGTCAATTACAGCTAACATTAGCTGTATTAGCTATTGCCTACCTGTGGCTAACATTAGCCTTTGCTGCAGCAGACCTCTGCCACACCAGTATAATGCTGGTTAAAAGTGAGTTTTAAGATAGCTTAGTTCTGTGAGTAAAGACACCAGTAGAGAGAAACGCACAGCAGTTTGAGAGCTCCAGCTGAATTCGGGGAAGCTGCTGCAGTAACTATGTGGCCATGCTCGGCAGACAGAAGCTTTGATGCAACGGCGGCTCAGAGGAGAGGGCCGTCCTCTCCTCATGGATCTCAATATGCAGATCACACTCTCCTTAGCCCTGTCCCTTCATGACAAAACTGGGACAAAGAAGTGAAACTGAAAGAAAAAACTTTGGCTTTGAAAAACATTGACAAAAAATCATTTTTCCCATGTTAATACTTTTTAATGCCAATGTGGGTTTTTTTATACAAATGTTTCAATGCCAGTGTTTGCTTTTTCAGTTACAGTTTAGTTTTTTTGAATTATGATTTTGTTTTCAATACCAAGCTTAATTTTTCTGTGCTAAAGACTGAAGTCATTGATCTGGTGCCATACCCATGCAGCAGACAAATGGCAGAGAGAAGGAGGCTGAAATCACCAAAATCCATCCACCGAAAAAGGAATTTAAACCAGCAGTGCAGGCTTACGTTGGATATCTCAAAGACAAAAACCTTCGGCCTGTCTCACCGTTGTCAGAAATGTTACAAAGCAGTCAGTTGATTAATGGAGAAAATAATCAGCAGGTTAATCCCTAATGAAAATGATCAGTAGTTGCACTTGGATACAAAACAGTTCAGCAGAGCTCCACCTCAACCAGCTACAACAGTCAAATCAGAGCATGAGTGACAGGCTGTTAATATAATATACTATATAACATTTTTCTTCATTGAGTAGCCTACTATGTGTAATACTTTAAGTACAGTTTGTGTTAATACTTAACATTATTAATGCAGGACAGTTTTTAACAGAGTAGGCTACTTTTACAGTGTGATATTAATACTTTTACTTAAGTAAAGGATAAGAATCCTTCCTTTATTAGCGGTGCTAACATGCAAACTAACATGGTTTAATTTATTTATTCTTTAGCGTCAATCTAATGCTGCAATCCAGCTCAATCAACTAGCACAGTCACTGGCAGTAAAAAGACCCTTTTTTCATTCTTCTGAGGGTCATTGTAGCTGACAATAATAGTAATTGTGTAATACTGTGGTGTTTTCTGAGATGGTTATCATACAGTAAAAATCCTTTACTGCTTGATAACTTGTTTACCATCTTACTTGGTTGAGGTCTTCCAGGCCTGCATTACAACATATGGTTCAGGTTTGTGGCTGAGTGCATCTTGTGTAGATGTCAGGTAGCTTTTTAACTGAGGGGCAGTGAAACTACTCATGCCCATGGGGAAACAAGGTTATTTTTATTATTGGGGCTTGTTATCATTTTAAATTGTTTGCAGGTTATTCAGTGTAAGAATTAGCATTTGAAAAACATTATGGCACCAATAATGAATTATAGTCAAGAGGCACGAAGGAGGAGGACATTAACTGGGTGACAAAAAAAAAAATCTATATGAGACAGAAAATTTGCAGATTTCTAATTTTTCTCCTAATCATTAAGGCACTGTCGTTTCTTAACCACTGAAGTATCTTTGTGTGCAGATGTTAGCCATATCGCTAGTGGTAGAGCATGACTGAACAGGATATGTAGCTAAACATGTAAGATAAAAGAAGAAAAATCGGCATACCTCAGATGACCAAAGAACCTAATATGGGATGTGCGATGTGCATGTGACCATAAATGACTTGAACAAACATGCATACCTTAAGCTTTATTACTGTGGAACTACAATGCACTGTATTCCTATGGTGCATTTTTTTGTCTCTGTTAGGAGGACCTTCGACGTCGTAGGGAGGAGGAGGGTCGGCAGCTGGACCTGAACGCCTCTCTCAGACTGAGGAAGCTCTCCCAGAATCCCCACATTGGCATTGACAACCCCACGTTCCTGCAAGACTCATACATATCTCCACCGGCACTCAGCAGCCAGCACACACATGCACTGCTGGGTACAATGCACACTCACAGTCAAAAGTAGAACAAGCAGATAATTTCCGTGAAGAATAAAGCAGTTGATTTGAAAGAAATTATTTAAATATGAAAAAGGAGCGATGGAGGAAAAGAAAAAAGGAAGAGAGGATGAAAATAAATGATGGAGACAGAAAACAGGGAGGGAAAGGAATGTAAGGAAGACATGCCTACCATCAGGGAGGAAATTCCTCAGGGAGGGAGAGGACATGAGAGACTCTTGAGGGCAACTTAATTAAAACTCTGTTAGGGGTGGTGATGTTGGCGCACGCAGTCACACAGACTAGAGCACACACTGTAGAAATTAAGTCTTAAATGGGAAATGAGAAGCAGTCTCTCACACACTAATCTGAAGCCAGGACAAGCAGGCTGCCTCCTGCTGTCATACTCTGATTCTTTTACAGAAGTGTGATTTGGAGCTTTCTCCCAGCCTCGTCTTGTGTTTGTTTTGTAAAACTCAAGATTTTGTACGTCTGTCAAAGTGTACTGATGTGAATGTGTGTGTGTGTTTCTTGCAGAGCTGGAGGAGCTGCTGCTGTCACTGAAGCAGGTGCGGGGCTGCCTGTCTGACCAGCAGAGTCAGAATGACATAGAGCTGGTTCTTGCACTACTAAACAAGGTAATAATGCAAAGGCATTTAGATGAAAAGAGCCTCAGGTCAGTGTGTAAATGGTATTTTACAAGACTCTGACCTCTGAGGTAGAAGAGGTTTGCAAAGATGGAGCAGTGGTCACTGCTGTCTGTGGTGGCACATGAGTGACCGCAGGGGCCTCACGAGGTTCTTACAGCTGGGATGGAGATTTCATTTAGTAGGGAGGACAGTGGCGGCTCCACTTAAACAGTTTACTTTTTTGCACATCAAGCTAATGATGAGCACTGTGTTCTTATATTGTATATTCTTAACAAAGGGGTGCTTGAAATGCCTACAGCTACCAAATAATGTAGTGTTTCGCCTGGTATAATGTAATCCCAGGCACTACTTCAGGGACTCCTATACCCACAACAAACTAAGTTTAGTTTTGAGGGAATACTTGCTCGTGAGGTCCAACATTCTGGTGGTCAGTTTTGGCACATCTAAATGAAAAAAACTGTCAAGTTACTTTTGAATTTGAGCCAGTACACACTAAGACTGTGTTCACACAGAGAGCTGTAGTGGCTCATATCCAAATTTTTTACCCCTGTGTGACCCAAATCTGAATTTGTTTTTTTGTTTTTTGTTTTTTTATGGCAGTTTGAACAGTACGGAACACACGAAATTGAATTTTTTCCTGTTCTTATTTGGGCCACATCAGTATGTGGTTCTAAATCCGATATACATCGGATTTTTAAAAAAAAAATGTGACCTCAGTCTGAGCAGCAAAAATAATGTGAACGGCCACAGAATACAAAATGAATATAGAAAAACATGGAAGTGAGCACTAAGGCTTGCAGTGTGAACATGGTACAAGTCAGCTGAACCTGGTGACATCTTTCTCTCCATTTTGGCCTTCTGTTCACACTGAGATGCCATTTTCACACTCAAAAGCTGAGTTTTTGGAAATTGCTCTCCAGATGGTTCTGTAGCAGTAAACGTAGCCTCTTTTATTCACTTTGTGAATGTGAAGGAGCAACGGCTTAGTTCAAAAGTACATGTATGACCTTATATCAAAAAACTATTTATTACGCACTCCCAGCTGTCTAACAACAGAAACACAAAAACAGTGTTAGTTGTCAGTTGAACTATACTGATCATGGAGAGCAGGCAGGAACAGAAGTTTAATCAGCTGAGACTCAGCAGATTAAGGACTTAGTCAGAACAACTGTGTTTACTATGGCAGTGGCACTGTGTTGGCATAGGGTGGGTGCCAGCTCATGGAGCTGTGGCCAAAAACTGTGAAATCATCTTGCCAAGGAGTTTAACCTACCTCAAAGCATTGGTCAGTCAAATACAGGCACACACACATTCCTCATAGGTTACTTTGTAACATTAATGGCGTCACTGGACTGTTTACCTGTCGATGGTTGTGATAAAATAATTGTTGCTGTTATAAAGTACGATCATAATATTTCCTCAGGGAATTATAAACCATTGTTAAGTGTTAGAATAACTGACAAGCCTTGTAAACGCATGGATATATTTCTCAGACCTCCCTTCCTAGGTTGTATTTCATTGTCTCATTGAACAACACCCCCACACCACCACAGCCCTTTATTTCTTAACCTCTTGAAGTGAAAAGTGCACTAGCACTCTGAGATTTGCATCACATTTCATGAACTCAGTTTTAATAATATAATTTTCATATGTGATTATACTTGTGTAATACTTCCTTTGAAAGCTTAGAGACTCCTCTTTAAGACTATGCTGGGAATTCTTGATACAATTTACAGCAGAGATATGACAAGGTTAAAATCTTGAAGTTAGCATCTTACCTGCTAGCTTGCAGCTTTCTTTTCTCCATAATAAAGTGTACTGAAATTTGTGGGTCAAAATTAAACATCCATGGACAACAGAGTACTTGTTTTGAATTACAGAGGTCCACTGATTAATCCAGCTGATGCATGTCAAAACCAAAGTAATGACAAGAGGAACTTGTGCAGTTGATTTCCAAAGTTTCCATAAGTGGCATACAAGTAACTAACGCTGTAACAGGGCAAATTCAGGGGATTGACAAATGAACAGACCGATAGTTTTTAGTATTTCAGACATAAGTACATGCCACTGAGCAGCTTTTCATTCATTCATTATCTATACCATTTATCTTGAATAGGGTCATGGGGGGGCTGGAGCCAATCAAAGCTGACATTGGGCGAGAGGCGGGGTCCACCCTCTGCAGGTCGCCAGTCTATCACAGGGCTGACATGTAGATAAACACCCACACACGCTCACATTCACTCCTACAGGCAATTTAGAGTCACCAATCAACCTAAGCTTCATGTCTTTGGACTGTGGGAGGAAGCTGGATTACCCACAGAGCCCCCACAGAGCCCCCACACAGGCACAGGGAGAACATGTAAGCTCCACACAGAAAGGCCCTGGGTCAGCTGGGACTCGCACCCGGAACTTTCTTGCTGCGAGGCAGCAGTACTAACAACAGCGTCACCATACTACTCACTGAGCAGCTGCAGTCACCCATCAACGTTTCTGTAGCATAAAACTATTCAGGCACTGAAGCCAATAAGATTAACCTTTTAATCATGTTTAACCCTCCTGTTATGTTGACCTGAACAGTATCTTTGTAATATAAACATGCAGGGGGATGTTGCAAATATGTGAATTGAACCATTTTCATTTTATATGTTGATCACACCTATTACGCCAAGCAGACGAAGTTTCAAGAAAATGGCCACAACACGTGCTATCAACAGAGCCTGCATGATGCCTTTTTTGGTCGATAATACAGACATAAGTCAGTGATACTGTGATAAAGCTAATGCGTGTTTTAAAAATCTAAGGATTCTTAATATTTGCAAATGGTCTACAGAAAATGTATGTACATTCTCAATGATTTGCTTACTTCAGGGGAGCTTTTAGAGACATTGTCGGGCTATGTTGAGGTTTTTTTTTAATGGGCCCTGTCCATCTGCTGGTGACATATGGCACTGCGTTCTGGCTTTATCAGTCATAATCACTTTTATCAAGCAACCTAAAATTTGGTAAACATATTGAAGGATGCTATGACTGTCGTACTGTAGTTGAAATATGAGATTACTAAGACAAAAAACAAAGCATCTATTCTTTTCTTTGTTTAACACTTCATCAACTTAGCTGTGGTAGGAGTAAGAAAAATGTGAAACTCCTGAGTAGTATCTTTACAGTGATACCATGGACATGCATGGGCTCTAAAGGGTGTTGGAATGGAAAAAAAAAAACTTTAATAAAGGAGTATTAAAAATTCAGGCAAAAGTGCAGTTCATTCCATGGGCTTTGAACACTTTGCTGTATTCCCAATTACCTGTCTATGTGTGTCCCACTCCTCATTAGATGATAGCTGTGATGCACAGTTGTTGTTTGCTGAGCCAACTATAAAAAAGAAGAAGAAGAAGAAGAAGAAAAGATCACACATATTATTTTGAGTTTTCAATGAGGATAGAGATGTTCACAAAAATACTCTAAAAGTGCTCATATGGACAGAAATTCAAGCAACTAAATGCATGTACAGTGACATGAATAGTAAATATGCTTTATATGTGACCTTCAGCTGAGTGGAATCTAACAGAATGTCCTGCTGTTTGTTTTTCTCCTTTAGTCTGACTTCCAGTCAGCGCTGAAGATTCATAACGCCGTGGCCACCAACATGCACCGCCCCTCCCCTCCATACCCACACACACACCATGCACTCCAGCTGGCCATGGAGGTAACTCATGGTTATTAAGATGGAATTTATTTAAAATGATCATTTTATTTATTTATATTG